TTCCAACGATTACATCTTCCTCCCTTTGAAAAATACTTTTCAATTTTTCAACGTTTAAAATACATCTATTTCTTCTTTTCCAAAATTTCAATTCTCATATAATCTCGTTCTTCAAAGATGCTTCTTCTCTTCTCCCCTTCCAACGAACACAATATTAACACAAACTAATTCACTTCACCTTTCTTCTTTCTCCTCCTCCAAAAAAAATTGAAATTTGTGAAACGATCTTCCCTTCCCCCCTCCTCCCCCTTCCACTTTCAATTTTCCATCCTGCTGTGCCCCTCGTCCACCCTCTCGAACAGGTATATACTTGCTTAATTAAATGGATACCAGGGTTTCACGCTGTCTCCGATCCTTGACAAAGATCGCTTTGACGCGGCGTATCGGCGGCGTTGAAATAATTAGCAGTTTGTGATTTTCAGCAGAGGGGTGGGTGACATTGACCGTGGGTGCGCACGAGGAAATGAAATATCCCGAGTGACAACATGTTCAAAGGGAGGGGGAGCGATGGGGACATAGCCCCCTGAATATCGATTTTTTGACAAACGACACAAAATTTACGATCACGCGATCGAAATTCGTACGAGAATTTGAATCTCGATTCTTTTCTTAATTGTCCACACTTTCCTTTTCTTTCTTTTTTTTTACCCCATTTTCCATTTCGAAGAAAATTGGCGAGAAAAATGAAATAAGGAGTCGTGGTTGTCCTGCAAGATTCTTTGTTTTTGGAAATCGATCGCGACGTGGCCGTGCGCGTCATCCGCCCTGGGATACGGGAACATTGCGACGCGTACGTTCGCGTCATCCGCCATAGAATAGGGAAACTCCACCCTCTTTTCTTCGATCGCCACGCCGCTGTTTGTCTTTGCAAAGAGGCATCCGGATCGAGGCACCCCTATTTTCTTCGACACTTTCTTTTTTATTTATTTATTTTTTTTTTCCCCCCTCGTTTCGTGCCTATCGAAAGACGAAAATTGACGATGAGAAAGAAAAAAATGGGGATCCATTTCGACGTTATTTTCTTTTTTTTTTTTTTCAAGGGTTGGCGTTTAAGGGCGGTGAAGAAGCGTTGTTCGGCAACGATCGAGTGTAAATTCAACGGGGTGTGGAAGTTTCCGCGTGAATAAGGCGAGATAAACAAAGATTCGATGGCGTGGATGGCGTGGCTTTTTTACATTCGACGGTTTCGATGGTTTTTCGCATCGAGGGTGGTTTTGGTTGTCCCTTGAACGAAAAAAGAAAGAAAAGAAAGGGAGGGGAAAAAGCAAATTTTTCGTTCATCCTAATCGGTGATACGTTTTTTTTTAAATGGAATGGTAATCTTGTTCGATAAACGAAGAAATATTTCATAAATTTAGAAACACGATTTAATCGCAAACGAGAATTTCAATTCCATTTTTCGTATTCGTCGATTTCTTCCTTTCTACGCCTCGGATTGACTCGTGGCTAAATTTTATTCTACGATCAATATTTATTCTAGGATTCTTCGAGGATCGATATCAATCAATGAGGGGGAGGGGCAACGATCGAATTATTCAAGTGATGGTTGTTAATAATTGAAATATATGGGACAATCCGTGACAGATAACCAATATTTACGATGCTTTTGGTCAAACTGATGTAACGATTGCGTATTAACGTTTCTAAATTTCCCAAGGGTTCACGGTTCCACCGAAACACTCGTAATAAAATCTCGACGTTTTATTAATCATCGGAAGAAGAATTTCCGGTGGTCGGATAAAGAAGGAAACTCTTCTGAAGAGCCTGTAAAAAAAGTTATTTATCGTGTATACGCGTTTCAATTTAATACTGAAAAAAAAAAAAAAAAAGAAAATCAAAACAATCTTCTTCTAAACGGATCTATTATATAGAAAAGAGCCACGAATCGACTCTCATATTTTATTTTCGATAATTAAAATAATTAAAATAAAGATAAAAAAAAACAAAATACAAAATACATCCTTTTATTTCGAAATCCTCGAATATAAATAAATTACTTGAAATAATTAAAAATCTCCAGTAACCATACTGGAGAGAATCCTGAGAACCATTCCCCGAAAACCCTTTAAAAACCTCTCTAAAACCTCTCTTCAGCCTTGAAAAAACCGTTGCCGTAATTCCCAAGATCGCGAATCTGTTATCGCTGAAAAAGAATATTCCTCGCAGGAGAAATACTCGTGAAAATTCAGACTCGCATAGGAGAAAAGATTTTTCCCCTTCCGAGTCGAAGGAGTCGAGGGACCTCCCCGAAGTGTGTTCCGAAATTTCAAAAAATCGTTCGATTTTTCGTTCAACGCGGGGGGAGGGGAAAGAAGACGGTGAGGCGCGCGAAAAATTTCGTTCGAAACGTCGTTTCGAGAGGGATGATGGCGGGCGGACGGGCGCGCCACTTTGAAACGTCGGTTCGACCGAGGAGGAGGAGAAGGAGGAGGGGGGAGGAGGAGGAGGAGGAGGAGGATAACTGCGCGTTACGCCACCTGCACTGCACCACCACCATCATCATCACGCCCCAACGGAAGTTTTCCACCAAGCCTTTGGCGGCCACCATTTCCGCCCTGATATTAACGCGGCGGAACAGGATAGGGGGATGGGGGAGAGGGTGACTTTCATCCCAACTTCCACGCGAGATTGCATCGTATTTGCTCGACCAATCTTGCCCATCTTTTTCATCCCCTTGTTACTCGTTCTTGATATTTCGGATTGAAAAACGAGAGCGGTTAGAGCAGCGGTTCTCAATACGTCCTTCATATGTCGTGTACAATAGGATAATAATGGATTTTTCGAGAGGGTGGAAGAGAATTTCAATCGAGGCTTATGTTACGAGAGATTTAAATTCTCGATGTATTTTTGTTATATAAGGGAATGATTTGCGTATTGGAGTATCTTTGAAGGACGGATTCTAGAGGAGAAAGAAAGGAAAATTGATCTACGAATCAATTTCGATTCAGGCTTGGGGTTAGGAGTAATTTAAATTTATGTGTTATACGAAGGAATAATATCTCTGAAATGTATTTTTGTTGTATAAAGTAACGACATATTTGCAGGATATTTTTGGAGTGAATTTTTAAATTTGCGTGAATCAGATGAAACAGTGGTTCTCAAGTGGTATTTTTGTTACATAAAATAATGATTTGTTGAGAAGATAATTGGTGTACGAAAATTTCGATTGAGCTTTGAATTTGCGTTACATAGTGATTTCGTCATTGATCGATCTTAATCGCCATCTCGATGTGACGAAACAAATCAGAGATACCTCAAAGGATGCGGAGAGAAAGGATTACAAACGAAAAATTGAAACCAAGATTAATTCTCGTAATTAATAACAGAGAAAAGATAGGACGAATCAACCCTTATCGAGGATTTCGCAAACTCGAGAGCAGCACGCGAAACAGGTTCCATGACGTAATCACGTGACCGGAATGTTTAAACCCTTGTGTCTGACTTCTGACTTCCATTCCCATTTATTCCAGCTACAAAGCGTCTGACTTGCGCGCTCCGTTACTACTGCAACCCGCGCGCCTCTTATGTTACTCATCCAGGATGTGTCTTGAGGCGACGGAATACGTGAACCGAATGTCGATACGTCGCGACCCGACGTTCTTAAGGTCGATCTGATACTATTACAACACCAGGGCAAAATGGTGTTGTAATTTGATGCCAACGACGATCGAACATCGATCGATGTTTTGTGGATGATCGCCGGCGAAATTTCGCGCCGATATCACTGGCATATCCTATTAATCGTGTTATCCGACTGGTGGAAAATTTTCATTGTTGAGAAATGCTTTAGAAAATTTTGCCACGTTTCTTGGATTATGATTTTGATTCGGCAGTTTCTATATAGTTGAGAAAATTTCTGAGGCTTTGAAGGAAAAATTATGGAAATTGTAACATCGTGATAAGCGATATAATGGAGTGAATTTTGGACAGTGCGATTCAATCTTTTTATGGTTTTTGCTTTGCTCCACGGCTCGAAGAGATATATTTAACGAGACCCACGAGAAGGATAAAGGAATTTCCCTTGTGTGAAGTGCGAGGAAGAGAGTTGTTGAAAGTTTTAACCGCATACCTGGAAAGTAATGGCTTCTCGTTCAATTTGAGACATGTTCTTGAAGATGTTGTTGATAATACCAAGGAATCTTTCGCGTTCCAAGAAACTGGCCTGGTCCTTCTCGAAAATATCGTTGAAGTCGTAGAGGATGAAATAAGTTCCTGAAACGAAACAAAATTGAACCACGTTAGTTGGATAACAAAAAAGAAATAAGTAGTACACTTGGGAAAAAATTCTCCGCCCTTTTTATTCATCCTTTATCAAATTTAACGATTTTAAAAAAAAAAGTAAAACATTCTTTCTTTTTTTTAAAACTTATAAAAAACCATCATTTCATTATATTTATTTAATACTTTACGATAGAATACTCTATATATAATTCAAGAATAAATCCAGAAAATCATATCTTTTATCATTTAACAATTTGAAAAAAAAAACACTCTTTCTTTTCTTACAACAACTTATTCAAAAGTAAAAAAATCATCATTTCATTACATTTTATAATACTTTACAATTGAACACCCCATATGTATATATAAATAATTCAAGAATCAATTCAGAAAAAGTGTCTACTAAAATACTTTTATAGGCCAATTAAAAAAAAAAAAAAATAAAATAATTCAAAAGTGCATTTCACTCTAAATGCTTTAATTAAAAAAGAAAAAAAATCAAATCATATCTTACAATACACATCAGAAATACAATCCTGTGTATAAATAGTGCGAGAACCGATAGAAGTTTAGCACCTGCCTAATACACGTAAAAAGGATGAACACAAGGGTAACAACAACTTAGGGGACCGATGAATCATCCCCCTATCGGGGATGAGAAGAAAGAAGATTGCACTCTCGCAACACTTTGCGCCTCGAAGTTTCTCTTTTAAAAGAGAACCTTTACGCAAAAAGCATCCTCTGCTTGAACCAACAGCTTTCAGATTACCACCAGGCACGTAAGGATTTTGCCACGTAGCCGCCCGACATAAAGGATCCGAGCCGAAGCCACCGACGGTCCCTGTCACCGGTATTTGCTTTGTAAATGCCTCCACCAAAATCCGTGTTTTCCCCTTGCGGATGACGAGAGAGAAGGAAATATGAACGCTACCTGATCGACAGATCGACGAACACTTTAGTTCACCGCGAGCCCTTATCGTTGATTTATACTACTTGCGTATCTTCGGATCGAACTTACAATTTTTCAGAAATCAAAATTATTATTACTTTGACGATGTTTGGAAAATGTTTCGAAGCATCTCTTTTCGAGTGAATAAAATGCAGTTTTGCAGTATTGAAACGAATGATGAATCCTTTGAAGATAGCGGAAGTTAGAAGGAGTATGGAAAATTTTTAGAGAACGATTTTTCAAGTATTTTGGAGATAGACTCTTTTCACAAAACGACGGATAATCCACGTACGAAACACAATTTCTCAACAAGCTACTCACACTTTTGAAAATGACAAACGCATACGTGTATATTAAAAAAATTTCGAAGAGGAGAAATGTATTTCTAGACTTCACAAAATCCTGTGCAGCGTGCAAACAATACCTTTCCCCTCTCTCTAAATAAACAAAAAAAAAAGTCTCGACTCCTCGGCGATAAGATCCCGCGAAAATTGCGCGACACACGGCGAATCCTTATCACACGATATCACAAAGTCGTGGAGGGAGAATCCGTGAGACATCTCGAGAGGCGCGCCGCTTCCGCGAGGGGAAACGATTCGATGCAAAAGAACTCAATTATCCCCCGCGAACGAGTTCGAGAGACAGACTCTTTTACAGACTTCTGCATTGAGCAGGCAGAGGAGAGGGAAGGGAGGAGAGACGGAAATTGAGGAAGACAAAGACGATGGGAGAGAAGAAGAAGTTGAAGAGCGAGTGCAGACGGGGGAAAAAAAAGAAAGGGGAGGAAATAGTGGAAACGTGAGAGGTGGGAAGAAGATCGAGAGGTTGGGTGGGTGTGAGGGGGAAATGGAGAGAAAAAAGGGGGAGGTCGCCAGGTTGGACGAGTCACCGCCTCGAGAGTTGGTCGTCCCTCTATTGATTCGACGTTAGCAACTTGTTGGCCACCCTACCGCAATTTTTACCACGGGAAACTCGCCTCCTCCGGATGGAGACGTCGACGACCCTCGTGTTACGAGCGACCCTCTATTTTTCCTCCACGCGTCACGAAGAGCGTTAAGTTAAGGAGGTGGGTCTTAGACGTGCACGTGCCTCTTCTTCGTATCGGTTTCGACGCAATTTTTTAAGAGTCAGTCATTGTGACACCGGGGGTGTGTAAGCTTCTTTTGGGGGGGTTGAAGGTTTTTTTCATGGTTATTCAGGTATTCGAGGCAGGGTAAACGCGGTATTAATGTTAGATAGAAAGTTTTAAATCGCCAGAATAACTTAGTTGGAAGTACAGGAGGGATTTACTTGATCCTAATCGCACTTCCTTACAGTATATGTAAAAGTTCTATTTTTGAGCAAGTGAACCGAAGTGCACTTATCTTTTATATTCGTGATGCTTTTATATACTCGATACCTTCTCTATTAAATTACACCCAACTTTATGCCAATCGCTTATGTCACTTCTGGTTTAGCAAAATATTAAATAAAAATAGTTTGATCCATCTCTTTTATAGCTCGTATTCAATTGATGTTAAATTAAGG